TTTTGCTGGGACTCAGTTAATTTGAGTACATTACCCTGAGTAATATTTTTGTTGTTGTGAAACCAGTTTGAATTTCAGCCTGAACTTGTCCTAGACTGGATTCATTGCTATGTACAAGAGAATGTTCAGACATTGTTTCTGAAATATGTTCTTCTGATATTTCATCCAATTGCATTTGATTTACAAGGAATTGAGTATTGTCTTGATTCTCGTCAACATTCTGGTTAGATATTTCATAATGATCGTCCATGACAACAATGCTATCCACAAGACCTAAACTAGTAGCTATTCCAGAAGCCACATTGTTTAAAGCCTCTGCTTCAGAGCTGGGTTCTAAACTTTGCACTACTGCATTTTGTATAATGATATCACTTCCTACAATTTGTGAGCCAATTGTAGCATTTTGAGATATAGTATTAACATGCGTCTGATGTCCGGATGCAAGCATCATTTGTACTTCCTTTGAAACTGCTGGTGGTAGAGCAATATTTGAAAGAATTTTAATCTTTCCCCTCTGTTGTAATTGCGGGTCATTAGGGATATACTTATCATTACCTTCTACAGTTTCCATAGAAGGTTCAGTATAATTCTTTTCTTCATTATCAGAAAATTCAATAATACCATCATTGCGTGCTTGTTCTTTATGAACTGATTTTACATGAGCATACATGTTTGCTTCACGTAAGAACATTTTATTGCAATAGATGCACTGTTGGGACTCCTTTGTGGTAGCACCAATTTTGTGTCCTGTTTGGGCCATATGGGTTATCAATGCTTGTTTTGTCCTAAACCAAGTTGAACATTGGTTACAAACGAATTCATTCAATTTTGAATGATTTAATATATGTTTAGACAATAAAGCATCATTCAATGCTATATAATCACAATGAGAACATTTAGGAAAATGTGTGTTACTAGGTGGTTTAATACCATGCTTAGTATATAGATGAAAATATAAATAATTACGTTTTGTGGACTTATGACCGCAGTGTTCACAAATTCTTACATCTATTTTTTCATTATGAACTCGAACTAGATGTTTTCTAAAAACGGGATAAGAAGGAAAACTTATAGGTCTACCATTTGTTCCACATCTTAAACAAAGCCAGGGACCAGTCTTATTTTCAGCGCCTAATGCAAGAAGGGCATGCATCTTTTTTGCATCAATTACTTTAGGTTGTTCTTCAACTTTAATTTGACCTGAAGGAGTTATTATTTTGTGTGTAATTACTTTACCATCATTATTTGGACTGCATTCTTTTGCTACACTAACCACAACTTTATCATCATTATTTAGCTTTGTCGTTCCACTTGATCTTTGCTGAACTACTTTAAGTTTAATATTTTTATTATTCTTCATGATATGTGGATACTTCTTTAGAACCTCACTTATTATACGAGCGTGATTAGCACTGGAGTCTTGACTTACACTTATTATTTTTTGCTGTTCTGTTTTAATATTCTGTAAGGCTTGGTTTGAAGATTCTGTAGATATTTCTTGTGAGTTAGAATTTGGGTCCTCTTCTTGACCACTATCATAATCATCATTTCCATTGTCATGATAATTATCATCATCCGGGTCATCTTCATTTTCTTCCACTTCATAATTTGCTCGCAGCCGATGGGCTTCTACATACTCTTTGACATCTTGTAAATTTACACGTTTAGGTTCAGAAGAAGTTGGTGATGCAGGAGCTGGTCGTTTTTGCACATAACCCTTGCGCAATTCTTCAAATGGATTGTTAGAGTTTGAATTTTTTGATTCAATTGAATTATTATCCAATTTTGGCATAGATAGAGGTTTGCTCTCATAAGATATGCTATCAAAAGAAGTTTCAAATGTATTATCGCTAACAACTTCTGTTGCTTCAAATCTTGTAGGACGAGGTACATTATCAACAATATTTGAAAATTTAGGTTTAGTCACCCTCAATGGTTCCGGAGTTATACTATCCAGCCCGTAAGACATTGGTCGCCTTTTCATGTTTCTAGCATTTGAATACTCATCTACCTTCTGGATAATATTTCGACCTTGTAAGTTATATGTCATAGAAACAATAGGATTCTGATGGTTGAGTAAAACTGGCTTAGAAGCATTTGGTGCTTGTATTCTTTGTGCTCTTAATAACTTTGTTAGTATAGCAATGTTCATAATCTGTGCTGTAGTTTGCAACCTATCAAGCATATTATATCTAAATTCTAGTTGCCCCGTATACATGAAATTGACAATAGGGACCACAACGTCTGCTTGCAAGTCCATTGGCATGATAAGGCAGTCATCAATCATTTCACAGTTTCTTTCCAATATAGTAAAATATTCTGTACAAGCATTTAAAACCAAGCGATGAACTTTCAATTGTGAATTATCATGAAACTGCAGTGTCAAATCACAATAATCAGTTTTATTGAAAAACTGTTGAAGCCGTTGAAGGAAAAACATTCCCCAGTTGTCGACGCGTATGTTTTTTATGTCACCCATTTTGCAGCTTGTTCTAATCACTTTGTTTTAGTAGATCCTTTAAAATATTTATGCGTTAAAAAGCAATCGTTATTAAACATACATCATGCAAAAATATAAATTAAATATGCTTATTAAATCTAATGTATAATTAAATGAACCCAATGTCAAAAATACTGCAATCGATGCCAGGCATCCTTTTAAGAAAGAGTTTATCTAAGAACACTTTCATGATTATAGTTTACTCCGGACAATTAATGTATAAAGTAGCATAATTAAAAGGCATAGTAAACATAAATTCTTTTGTGTACAAACCTATTTTACATCACCATTTCAGCTCCATCTTTAACAGCAATAAACTGAATAGTATGCTTGGCCATGTTTAGTGTAGATGTCGCATTGCATTTAGCCGCCATTTTGATCGACTTATCGACATTCAGAAAGAAATTAGAAGGCGACACTAAGGACATCTATCCCAATTTGCACATAATTAAAGTCCCAAACAGATAAGCAAAAAGTCACTTTGGTTAACTGCGCGACCACATCTGAATTTTATTTTTGACAATATATTATTTAGCAATTTTAAATTATTTAGTAATTATGATTAGACGAATATAATATAAATTATCTTACGACGGTGTATTAAGTTTAAAATAGATTTAGCAAGTTAAAACAGTTTGGTTAAATTTATAACAATTTTCAATATAAATTTAACAGGGTTGAATACGCTCATTATTATATTCTATTAGTTTTAATTGGAAAGGTATATATACTTCGTTTATATGTTACTTCTTAAGATAAATCTTATTTTATAACCCTCGCCGCTAATATATATGTCATGAATTATAGGTTATATTATATAATTGTTCAATTATTAATGAATGTAAAAAGATAACTAAAACTACTAACATTTTTTAAGCTTCCATTACATTTGCATAATATCTTGCAAATTTTCTTATCTATGATATCATGTCACCATTAT